TATTTTCATTATATATATATATATATATATATATATATATATATATATATATATGAATATATTAAAAATAAAATCATAATATTTTTATTTTAACTGCATTAGTAAAAAATGATATTTTTTTAGTTTAATAAAATAAAATAAGAATTTTTTGCTTCTCTTGTTTTACTTTGATTAACTTAAACATTGATTTAATAAACTTAAAAATTTATTTGATACATTTAGAAATAGAGAATAAATCTTTTTGATTTAATGGCAATATTAAAATTATCACATTATGTATTGTTTCAGTAATTCTAGTATTAATTTTAATAATATCGCTATTGAATCAAGAATATATACACCAATTACGCGTGCTGTTGAAAATTTTATTGATTTAACAAAAAAAAAAGAACCGTCCGTCCAACTATAATGTCAGGAAGACAATAGATGTTCGGCGACATCGAGCGACGCTGACGCGGCAGAGATAAAAGACTAACGTTAGTAGGCGCGCTATAGTCTTTTAGACCGACTGCTAAAAACGTATCAAATTTCATATAGAAATAAGCGCGTCTGTGCCGTCTACTTTTCCATGCTATACGAGAAAACATCAAAGAAACTTTACGTAAAAGCGAAAATACGATAATAGATTAGATAATATAAGTAGAAAACGAAAAAGTACGGGGAAATGACCGATACGCGGCCACTTCCGGGTTAACAGAAAAAATAGTAAATAAAAATGTTGCTTCTGAAAGACCGTGAGGTGAGTTCAAGAAGGTTAAATATAAATATTTAAACTTGTAACATAAAAAGAATATATATATATTGATGAAAATATTTTTCGCGCGGCCGCGTGGCATTTGAATAGCGACAAAAACCGGGTTGACTCTTGGGAGAATCGGGACATCATGTTCTTGAAAGAGGAAACTTATCTTTAAGGTATCGCGGGCCCTTTTAAATGAAATGTCAAGCGTATCACCGTAGAGAGACCGGCTAAAGACAGCGGTGTTGTCGGGAGGGAAGAGAGATAGAGAGAAACTTAGATTGAAATCAATGTTGGGCGACCGACTGCTTAGAGACCGTGTGATAAATTGGATTCGCGTGGAAAGTCGCCGTTTGCCTTCGCGCGCACCTCCTCTTCCCGAAACATACCTGTACGGCCGCGCGATCGAAAAACGACGGACGGGGAGAGAAGGAAAAAAAAGCAAGAGGATAATAGGCCGGCGCGGTTTCGCGCGTGTCGCAAAGCGGGCACGGCTCTGCTGCGCTAAAAAGGAGCTTTACTCTCCAAATAAACGTTGCTTGGGGGAAACGCGCCTGTCACGATGTACGGTTGTCGCGGACACTTACCGCATCCATTAAGCCTCCTCGGGCACGGTATCTCGCGAGAGAGCGTGCGTATACGTCGCGTTCCGTGTACGGTATTCGCGTAAAATCGGCGCGGCGCGATTGAGCGGTTAGATCGAAAATCGTCGCTGGTCCCTCGTCATTATCGAGCACCATTTCGAGCACCGGGCCCGTAAATGGGCAAAGCCGGGCACGGAGGCATTGCTGGCGCTCACCGCCGCGACAAATTGATCATTGAGCGGAATAACTTTGCTTGTCTCCAATCACTTACGCAATCACTTATCCGCATGCGCTCGGTGAACCGATAAGTCCTAACGGCACGCGCATACATGCGCGCGCTCACGAGGCATTGCGCGATTTTTCTCAAACGGCATTTGCGAGCACCTTCGCCAACGCCCGGTCGCGGCCGGGAACAATGTCGCGCGCGCGGGATCGTCGCGATCCTCGGCGGCATCGGTCGAAATCGAAGGCTGGACGTGCGTCGTTCCGAAAAATCCGAGTCTCAAGAGAAATTCGGAAAGCGAAACATTTTCTTTTTCCAGGGGGATATTTCAAGAGAAAATTTTAATGAAATGAAATCCTGATACCGCAACAGTGAAGTAATAGTTACAATCATGAGTAGAGTCTCAATCTCAGATCAAACTTGGTTTATTGATTATGAAAAAAGTTACACTACACAATATGAAAACACGAAAAGCATTTTTTTTATATTCAGTTCTTTTACAATTATGCTCTAAGGTTGCAGAAATATTTTTAATATTTATGTTATATATTCCATTATTCTATAAGACTTAAAATAATGTCGATATGGACGTCATTAATAGAAAATTAGGAATATAACGAGCGTCTAATATTTGCTGACTTATAATTGGGGCTTAGGCATCAATATTTTTAATTTTTTCCTTAATTTTCAGGATAACTTTAATTTGAAATCTTATAATTTTGTTTTCTATGTCATCAATTGCTCGTATTGGTGTCAACAGTTCGTTTTAATGTTCGATTGACAAATTTATGTGAATGATTGAAAGTTATTCCGATCTTAATCATAAGATCCATAATTAGGAAGTTTATGTAGGAAAATACAACTTTCCCGAAGTATCAACTATAATAATAATTTGCCGACATATTAGTCTTGTGACTAAGTGACTGATGTCAATATCATAACTTTTTTGGAGTGATACTGCATTCTTCTAATATTAAAAAAATCGTATTGGGAGGG